CAAAATGATTGTCAATGAAATGAATCAGACCCAGGTTAATAATTTATTTATTTGTATTGGTAACTAACTCTGGAAGCTATATTTACTTTGATGTATGTAATTTGAACACAAATGAATTTTTTTAATATGTGCAGTGTGATATATATAAAAAAATATAAGATTTAAAATTTTTGCATAATAAACTGAACACAAAGTCTCATCCACATTAAAAATTAAATAATCATATTACATCATTATTAAACACTTTGCTTTCTTTATAATTTACTATGTTCATTTCCTTTTTTTTTGATGATGTGAAGTACAAGACATTCCTTTTAATTATGCTTATGGTTAGTTATTTGTGAATGAAAGTTGTGTTTGTGTTCCGTAATAATTTTTTTACATTCTCAAGCAATTTCTTTAATAAAATGACTTCAATATAATATCATCAACACCCTAGCAAAGAAATAAAACCTCTATGATAAAATGGTCAAAACTTTCATTAAGTGTTTTGATGTGTAAATAATTACCAGTTTAATTTGATAATCTCAAATTAATAATTAGCTAATTCAAAACTGATATTTCAAGATTGAAATAATTTTCTTGCCTGGATTTCTAATTGCAATTAGGAAAGAAGCCTCCTTTTACATTAATCCAAAAAGTTAATTTCAAAAGATAATGTTTGCATAACACATAAATAAATACTATAATAAAATAATAAAATCGAATTGAGATTCCATGTTTATTCAGTTACTCAAACATATATATCAAATTATAAATTCCTTTATGAAACTAATAATAAATAAACAAATGTTAATGTCAATTGATGAAAGGATTTCTTCTGGAAAATCTTTTATGATCAAATGTATTAAAAGAGAGAAAAAAACTTGAAGCATTAAATAGAATGAATGAAAATACTCAAGTCTCTTTATTAAAAGAAGATGCTAAGATTGAAGAATTAGAAAAAGGATTGAAAGAAAAAGAAATATTGGTCGACTATTTGAAAACTAAGTTAAGGAAGAAGAAGAAAAGGCTGGATGCCACTTAAATTCCTTAGAAGTAGCCCAAGAATGAAGTAAAAGGCAATTAGCTGAAAACTTGGAGCAATTAGAGACAGTCAAGAGCCAGGTATTCTCTTGACCTTACAAGGTAAGGGAAATGAATTGCAAGAAATAAAATAACAAGCCCAAGAAATTCAGCAATTAAACCAAGAATTATATTTAGCCAATAAGCTTTTGTCAGTATTACTAAGGAAAAAAAAAATTGCAAAAATTACAAAAAAGATAACTGAGAAATTCACCTAAAAAGGAAACAAGAGCAAATAATTGAAGTAAAACCCAAGGAATCCAAACCAATCTATACCAATTCTTTTTTGTCAAACTTATTTTTAACTTCTTTGATCTTTAAAAGATAATATATTCATTATATTATTCTAAGATAGACAGCAAATTATTTCTCTACTGATTTTATTTTCTTTCTGTCTCTTTGTGGGGTTCTGTGTTAATTTTCTTTTATTAGTTATGATTTTTCTCTCCTGCTGGTTAATTTCATAAGTAATCTTTTCTTTATTTAGATAAGTTTCCAATTACCAAGTATCATTTATTTAGAAAATATAAGGAGCAATTTTCTCACCTTGTTCTTTTTTCAAAATACTTCTGATAGTACTGTGAGTGTGTGATTTTCAGCACTACAGCTCATGAGGTGTCCAATAATAATATACAAATAATAATATAAATTTCAATAAAATATAATCAATACAGCTGACACACAGACTTACAATTACAATAATGCCTGACACATAGGACTTCCAAATAGCTATATCTATATGCCTAAATGCTTTCTAGGCAGATGCTCTCTTAATTCTTTCTTCAATTTAAACATGTTATTCTACCAAACTTGAATTTTTTTTTCTTGTTATTTAATTACAATTATCATTTACCGATGTTTACGTTTTCTAATTTATTTTTTATAACGGTATCTGTTCCAATTTTCTCAAGCTCTTATCAATCGCTGATTTTTCCTCCTTCTCGCGTTATTGTATCTGTTATTTCATCATATAATAATAACAAAGAATACTAAATTTGGTCGGTATTGGTGATGGTGTTGATTAAGAATTATATATTTTTGATAATCAAATCTTGCATATAAAAAATTTAATATACAATGGAGATTTAAAAAATGACGATTTTTTACTTTGCGACACCGATCACATAAATGGTTAAAACGGTTCATTCATTCAGTTAAGGTTTCAAGTAATATTAAAAATTATATAATTGTGTAATATTGTAATAATTTATATTTAAAGGAAAAATATTTCCTGAAAAAAAAAATCAATAATTTTAAAACTTCAAGAACAAACTGACACAGCAATAATGTACGAACCATTTTTGATGCAAGCTTATTTTGGGTGTTCCAGTGGTCTTTTCACCATGGTAATGTGAATAAAAAGCTTACATAATTAGATTAATTGATGAATCATTAATTTATTTTAATAATTGTTACTTGAATAGGCGCATCTTTATAATTTGTTTGTTTCAATAGCCTTATATAGATCTCAGGCAAATTTGTCGAATATTTTTAAAATTTTATATAATTTTGGAGGATTAATTCGAGCTATATGTCTATTTTGCCAATTAATGGTACCACTTAATATGACAATAAACGAATGTATTGTATTAACACATTTAACTGCTGCTGCAATTTATGTTAACAAAACTGCATTACAAGGATTTTTATTATGGCGACTAAGAAATATTGGAGATGATGATTATAAAAAAAATGATTTATATATTGGCACCGTGCTATTTGTTATAAGAATTGCTTTTAATGTAAATATAGTTTATTTATTATATATATATTTATATATATTTATATGTTTATATATATCTTATTTTCTAATTGGTATTTGTTTTTTTAAAAATAGTTTGCTCAATTTTTTAAATTAACACCAGAAGCGTTTTATGATGAAAAAGAAAAGGCCTATTATTGTAGTCAGGGAGTTGATATGGCTAGGACTCCAGTATTAGGATTCTTATTAACTGATTTACTAATTGATATTTATGTGACACTTCGCTTTACGCAAATTTTAAACAAGGCAAATGAAACTGAATCACTTATGGTAGGCGGAACAAAAGGAAGAAAAATAAGTAAGTTCACTGCAATCATCTACTGGAACTTTTTAAGATTATTTCTTGCGATCAGTCAAAATGCATTGTTCGTAGGTTATATAGTATCTGGAATCTATAGAGAAAACGGGGAAAAGATGTCCTTTTATATAAACAATACGCAGTTATTACTTCTAATAGGATTGTCATATGCAATAACTGTTGATGCGGAGATAGTGAGAATGATTGAAGGTAAAAAAAAACCATCACCAATCAATTCTAAATCATTCAAAAATACATCACGACGACCTGCTAGAAATGTACATGATAGCTTAATAGTAAATGAAGGTGAACCAAAAGAACTTTCTGTCAATATTACTAGTATAAATATAATTAATCAAGATGATCGAGGGATAGTAAATGAAGGTGAAACAAAAGAACTTTCTGTCAATATTACTAATAATGACGCTATAATTAATCAGGACGATCGAGGGATAGTAAATGAAGGTGAAACAAAAGAATCTTCTGTCAATATTACTATATAGTAATGATCCAAATAATTAAACGAACTTACTGCGGCGGTCACACGATGATTAACCAACATATTTCTATATTATCCCCCGTGTAACCTCATTTATACCATTTTTCAGTTTGTACTTATACCCACTAGAAAAATTCAAGCTCAGTTGAATTTTATGATAGACTATTTTTTTATTTATAAAATGCAAAACATTACAGTAATACAAACAAATATTAAAATACAATTGTTTGAAGTAATGAGTATTTAATAGTAATAGTGAATATTAATAGTAATATTATGACATTTAATAAACTTAAATTTGTGTCCTTTAATTTCATTATAATTGTGATCTTTTAAATGGTAATGTAATATTGGAAATATCATTGAATGCATGAAGTGAATCAATACTTTTATTTGAATCAAAAGCATCACTAGAAATACTAGAATCATCAACACTAGTGTCACTGGAAATTGCATCTTGATCATTACTCATCAAGTCACAGACGAACTAGATCAAAACTTCTTCATAATGGAAAGGAACACCTACAATTCGTTCACCAGCGCATCCAACAAAATAATGAACACATGTACATATACTGTCTCAAATGGCAGGCATTCGGCAGTAGCAGATGCAACAAACTCATCAGCAGTCTTTTCAGTAGGTGAGCTGTTCGTGGAAAGGAACATCATACAAATCATCTGTAGCGAAATTGATTGGTCTTATCCCAAAGCAAATCATCAACAACAACTAGACTCAAAAGAAAGAGAAGCAGATCATTGGCAAAAAATCTCACGAGTCATCATCGATAAACGCATTAGCAACATCACCAAACTTACCATCATCAAGTAAGAGATCATGAAAGCCAAGCAACAAGGAGGTAGTGACAATCAAGAAAACATGTCAAGACCAGAGATGTTGGCAAATGCAATAAAGCAAGTTAATAATAACAAGGGTAAAGCACCAATGTGCTATTTTCAAGACAATGAAGATTTTGTGTTTGAGAACCAAGAGGATGAAGTTGAAGTTCAAGATATAATGACAGTGATGATGACACTATTTAAACTATAAAATATTAATTTTTGTATTATTTTTAAAGCATTTTAAATTTTAAATATTTTAAACTCATTGTTTGAATGAACAATTTATTTGATTGTTGTTGAAAATATGAAAATTATTAATTTTTGTAGAAAATTGTGAATTAGCATATTTTTATTTTGTCTTTTATTTGCGAAATAAATCAGTCTAAATAAATTTTATTGATTACAAGCCAAAAATACATGATTACAAATTGAAAAACATTATGTGAATTAATTAATTAATACATATGCTCAGAAATTTTAATCTTGCTTTATATGTAAAAATTGTCCTCGGATTAGCTACTAAAAAAAAATTTTATTGAAAAATCACAACAGGATGCAACTTATTCCTTTTTTTTAAAGTATGAATCAACAGTTCACTTAACAATACTCTTGAGACATTATATCTATCGAAGAAACTCGAATTTTTTTCTGTGGAGATGCATCAACAATATAATCATCTGCATGCTGAGTGCCACCATGTTTAAAAATTTTTTTTTAATTTCAATGAAGACTCTATGTGCTGTTGTAAATTTACAACACAGCTCTGGCCAAATATATAAGTAAAGAGTATGTCAGTTACAAATTATCACAAGCAATACTATAACAGCAATTAACAACAACATTAATAAGATTTGTTACCTTAAATATAATCATTCTTCGTATAATATGGGACAAATTCTTTAATTGTATAGGTGTATTAGGAACCACAAACCCATCAAACTGGTCAACAAGATAAACTCCACCAGTCCAATGCATGCATAAAGAAAAACATCTCTCTCTATGTAAATAAATGTATAAAATCAGCAAGCCACTACAAACATAATATTTAATAAATCATATTACTCACTGTAAACAAGAATTCCATATGTTTCTAATTTTTCTAGATTGGGATCATTTTCTGGAAACAACTTCCGAATACCGAAGAGAGCCAGTTGCATAGCTGTCAGTAAATGTTATTGTTAGTGATTTTCACAATGATAGAATCAAATTTCGTTTCACCTTACCTTTAAGGATCTTTTTACGATCTCCCTTCATATTTACATCATCATGATAATAAACATTTCCAACCAGGGTTGGCAAATTGACTGGTCATTGAGAACGGGTGGATTTGGACTGGTCCATTGCCATTAATAAAATACCAAATGTTACACTAATGGACCCAATGGACTACCAATAGACGCACATTTGCCAACCCTGTTTCCAACAACTTTCCCAAAAGCTACCTGAATTTCCGTGTGGTTAACATTCATTATCCCCCGTGTAACCTCATTTATACCATTTTTCAGTTTGTACTTATACCCACTAGAAAAATTCAAGCTCAGTTGAATTTTATGATAGACTATTTTTTTATTTATAAAATGCAAAACATTACAGTAATACAAACAAATATTAAAATACAATTGTTTGAAGTAATGAGTATTTAATAGTAATAGTGAATATTAATAGTAATATTATGACATTTAAAAAATTTAAATTTGTGTCCTTTAATTTCATTATAATTGTGATCTTTTAAATGGTAATGTAATATTGGAAATATCATTGAATGCATGACGTGAATCAATACTTTTATTTGAATCAAAAGCATCACTAGAAATACTAGAATCATCAACACTAGTATCACTGGAAATTGCATCTTGATCATTACTCATCAAGTCACATGTATTATCTGTTTCAGTAGTAACTGGATGGGTTTCGCTTGTAACATTTATTGATTTTGAATCATAAATATTAAAATTACCATTGTTATTAGAATGTGTAATAGTTTTTTAGTAATATTAATGATAATGGTGGAGCAGTGTAATATTCCGCAAAGCAAGATGAAATATACAAATTTTAGAAAAGAATAAATTAATTTATTATTAACCACCCAACAAATCTTCTTGATAGTGGAAAAAGTTACATGTAAAAATGGCATAAATGGTGGGGTTTAACTATTAATTATATTGTATTAGTTACACCATACATCGTGTGATGTTATCTTTATAATATTTCTATATATTTACATATTTCATATGACTTTGTAATATTCAACAGATGTAGTAATCAGGTGTGTCATAATTTATAATTGATAGGTATAATTTATTGGACAAAACATTGTAAAGGTTACATTATTTGTAATATCCCAAGAAGTATAAATACACTTGGGAATTGACCTGTTAGAAGAAAAAAATCTATAATCTCCTTCAAGATTGATAATTTCATCAGCTTCGGAATTGGTTTACTTTTTCTTTTATAAATGATAAAAAGAGAAATAAACTATTGACACCTGAATGTGTTTTAAATTGGTGTATATTTATTTTAATCACAAATTAAAATGTCCAAAAAATACCAACAATGATAATATGGATATTACAATTGATGGTGATGGAAATGTGGGAAGCAAAAATGATAAAACTGATGATAATGAAACAATTAGAATAAAAAGTGGCAAAGAATAAGGCAGTGGTAGTGATAATAATATTGAAAATTGTATTTAGATATTTATTTTTATATTTTTTTTGATATATTATATATTTTTTAAAAAAATGCAATGCATATAACATGCATGATGTGCATCATGCACATCATGCGCATGAAATTTTGAAATTTCCATCTCTAGTTGTAAATAGTCCTTGTATATATTTCTTTAGTAATACAGGGGGAAATGGTTAAGAGAGCATCTGCCTAGAAAGCATTTAGGCATATAGATATAGCTATTTGGAAGTCCTATGTGTCAGGCATTATTGTAATTGTAAGTCTGTGTGTCAGCTGTATTGATTATATTTTATTGAAATTTATATTATTATTTGTATATTATTATTGGACACCTCATGAGCTGTAGTGCTGAAAATCACACACTCACAGTACTATCAGAAGTATTTTGAAAAAAGAACAAGGTGAGAAAATTGCTCCTTATATTTTCTAAATAAATGATACTTGGTAATTGGAAACTTATCTAAATAAAGAAAAGATTACTTATGAAATTAACCAGCAGGAGAGAAAAATCATAACTAATAAAAGAAAATTAACACAGAACCCCACAAAGAGACAGAAAGAAAATAAAATCAGTAGAGAAATAATTTGCTGTCTATCTTAGAATAATATAATGAATATATTATCTTTTAAAGATCAAAGAAGTTAAAAATAAGTTTGACAAAAAAGAATTGGTATAGATTGGTTTGGATTCCTTGGGTTTTACTTCAATTATTTGCTCTTGTTTCCTTTTTAGGTGAATTTCTCAGTTATCTTTTTTGTAATTTTTGCAATTTTTTTTTTCCTTAGTAATACTGACAAAAGCTTATTGGCTAAATATAATTCTTGGTTTAATTGCTGAATTTCTTGGGCTTGTTATTTTATTTCTTGCAATTCATTTCCCTTACCTTGTAAGGTCAAGAGAATACCTGGCTCTTGACTGTCTCTAATTGCTCCAAGTTTTCAGCTAATTGCCTTTTACTTCATTCTTGGGCTACTTCTAAGGAATTTAAGTGGCATCCAGCCTTTTCTTCTTCTTCCTTAACTTAGTTTTCAAATAGTCGACCAATATTTCTTTTTCTTTCAATCCTTTTTCTAATTCTTCAATCTTAGCATCTTCTTTTAATAAAGAGACTTGAGTATTTTCATTCATTCTATTTAATGCTTCAAGTTTTTTTCTCTCTTTTAATACATTTGATCATAAAAGATTTTCCAGAAGAAATCCTTTCATCAATTGACATTAACATTTGTTTATTTATTATTAGTTTCATAAAGGAATTTATAATTTGATATATATGTTTGAGTAACTGAATAAACATGGAATCTCAATTCGATTTTATTATTTTATTATAGTATTTATTTATGTGTTATGCAAACATTATCTTTTGAAATTAACTTTTTGGATTAATGTAAAAGGAGGCTTCTTTCCTAATTGCAATTAGAAATCCAGGCAAGAAAATTATTTCAATCTTGAAATATCAGTTTTGAATTAGCTAATTATTAATTTGAGATTATCAAATTAAACTGGTAATTATTTACACATCAAAACACTTAATGAAAGTTTTGACCATTTTATCATAGAGGTTTTATTTCTTTGCTAGGGTGTTGATGATATTATATTGAAGTCATTTTATTAAAGAAATTGCTTGAGAATGTAAAAAAATTATTACGGAACACAAACACAACTTTCATTCACAAATAACTAACCATAAGCATAATTAAAAGGAATGTCTTGTACTTCACATCATCAAAAAAAAAGGAAATGAACATAGTAAATTATAAAGAAAGCAAAGTGTTTAATAATGATGTAATATGATTATTTAATTTTTAATGTGGATGAGACTTTGTGTTCAGTTTATTATGCAAAAATTTTAAATCTTATATTTTTTTATATATATCACACTGCACATATTAAAAAAATTCATTTGTGTTCAAATTACATACATCAAAGTAAATATAGCTTCCAGAGTTAGTTACCAATACAAATAAATAAATTATTAACCTGGGTCTGATTCATTTCATTGACAATCATTTTGTCAACACTC